AACTTTAACAAATAAAAAATCGTTTTTGAGTGCTTGCCTTGGATTCAAATGTGCAATGCGCTTGATCAATCAGAGCGCTTAATGCAATTAGCGTTGGTATTTCAATTTTCATTTGATACCCGGCAGTCTCGCACATGCTTACTGTCAAGTTGGACGCGTCACCGAAAGCCGAAGTACCGTATGTTAGGCCTCGGGAGCAAAATAGTTGTTTCTTCATTTTTAGTTCTATTTTTTCACCCCTTACGATGTCTAAAGAAAAGAGACTGTCAAACACAGCTGAATTTAAATTAAGTGTGATTAATTATACAAAAGAGCATGGAAACAGAGCTGCCGAAAGATATTTTGGTCCTCCACCAACAGAAAAAATGATTCGTTGCTGGCGCGAACAAGAAGAAGAAGAATTGAAAATGATTAAAAGTGATAAACGCAATTTCTGAGGAAAAATAGCAAAATGGCACGATCTCGAAAATAAACTGTACGAATGGGTTGTGGATCAGAGAAGGCAAGGACTATCCGTTTCTACAAATATGATAATTTTTAAAGCAAAGAGGATTCTATGTGATAATAGTTTAGAAGATTTTACTGGTCATACATCGTGGTGTTATCGGTTCATGAAACGCAAAGGCCTAGGTCTGCATGTGGGTGAAGAATTCGTGGGAAAAAGTACTAAATGATATAGTGATTGAGTCGTTTAAGAAATGTGGTATCAGTAACGCAATGGATGGGACCGAGGATGACACTCTCTTTGACCATAATATTGGATCCAATGATTCCTTTCCAAGCGACAGTGAAAGCAGTGAAGATTTTGTAGGTTTTGAACCAAACTAAATAACAGTAAACCTTTTTTTGATTTACGGTATTTTCTTATTTTAATGTTTTGAGCTCTTTTGTGCTTAGAACAAAATATACAAATTTTAAAGTATCAGATTGAATTTTTGTTCAATAAAAATCTTTCAAATGCGACTGTAGCTCCCCCCCAAAAAAAAACAAACAACAAAACAAACAACAACTTTGTCTTCAAAAGAAGGGTGCGTCTTATATTCCGAAAAATACGGTAACACGTGTCCCTCATCACTGTTAGGCTGTTATACAAATAGAGCTTGGGAAAATGTGAAACAAGTGGGGGGGCGAGATTATAGATACTGGTTCCTACACAAATAACTAAAACAGGCTAGCCATTTTAAAAATGTTGGCCTTTAGTCTTTGACCATATAAATTCATTAATACCAACATCATACTTTCTATCAGACTCTTCTAATACAAGTTTAGTATGGGCTAGAGGCAACTAAAAAGTGACACTGCTAATGTTACTTCTTGTCTCCAGTTGTTCAGTCACAGTCTACATTCTCATTAATTTTAATTGCACCTTGTACTTAGACAATGTTAAGAAAATACTTAGTAAAATTGTGCTTACAAAATATTATAATCGGCATAATTAAAGATATTATATCAACCCAAATAAGACACTGGGTATACCAACTTTAGATTTGTTTTGAAACAAGGTACTGTTTGCGGATTTCAATTTCTACAGATATTTTCACCCACCCATAAACGTTTTGATTTGGTCCATTCACAATATATTTTCCTATTATAATTGAAAACACCAGGCCAAACCTTGTTTTACCCAAACGCAGTGTGAGCTCATTTGTTAAGCGCATCTTTCCGATGAAATTCCACTACATGCCAAATATTTCAGTGTCGAAACTGAAACATTCTCTGTCTAGCATTAATGAAAATATAAGGTGCACTTTATTTTCGAAAAAGTTTCTACAGGTCAGTAATTAAAGTTCACTTCATATCTCAAAGTCTTGACATTCAGATAAAATCCTTTATTTTTACACATATGTTACTTGATTGTTGTGTTGTTAGTATAATTAATTTTTCATGTTATTAAACGCCCTTGAGTGACTTTGTGTAACATTTTTACACGTGTGCAACATTACACACATATATTTATCCATACATTACAAATACATATATCTCAATATTACAATTCATCCCACACACTAATAGCTTCAGACAGACTGTCTCTGGCTAATGCCTTTACTATTGTAACACAAAACATATTTTGGTATCATGAAATAAATAATCACTAACAGAATTCAGCTGAAATAAGACTTCAGATAAATTTCTCACAGACAGATTCAATATTCATTCTTTAAACACACAATCAAGCCAATGTAGACTAAATACAGTACTCTGCGATAAAACAGACAGACAATAACCATTAGTAGAACTCTCAAAATAATGTGTCAATATTTGCAAGGTGATCCACTCATATCAGTTGGAATCACGGAAAAATAAATACGGGTAAATTAAAGTGAAACTAAGACTATTTCTCTTATAATCATAACAACCTGATCTACATTGTGCTGAAAAAGAACATAACTTTTTCACTGCACATGGAGGAGTTATTTACACACTCAAGTGTACCAGAGATGTCTAGTGGATATTACACAGTTTGAACCACAGAAAGTTTTCTAATACTCAACTACATAGGGTGAGCACTTCAGCTCACAAAATTGTTCAATTACACGAAAATCAATAGTTACAAAGCCCTTGTAGATGAAATTTTAAACTACTAGAGATCGTCCTTAGTCATACAAACTGATGATACTCTAGGCATTGCACCTGTTGACACCGGTCATCCTAACTATGTGGTAACATCAGCTATCAACTGATATTCTGTATATCTCTTGGTGAACCCTGCTTCATAGCTGTAAAGTAAGGGTTGCAGTAATTTTAGTCCAGTTAACCTTACAATCAGAAAATTGTCCTAACTTTTTAATAATCAAGTGTCAATCACACAATGTAGTGCACACATTTCATAGTGGAACACCACTTGATAACTCAGAAAGCAATAACACCACTTCCTTTCAGTCATTGAACACTTTACATCTCTTCTACAGCCAGTACATGAGAGGTTTGTTAGTAATATATAGCCTTAACTTTAAATGATCACGCATTTACGTGCACAATACAACCACTGTTACTCATATGTTTAATGTACCAATTTGTCTAAATATGAGATAAGGACCATTTCAGCCACGCCTAAGCTGCTTCTATGCTGGTGGAATTTACAAAAGCTATACTTAGTTCTCTCTTTTTAACTGTTTTGTTTGTTGCAAAACACAAAGCTACGCAATGGGTTATCTGTGCTGTGTCCATCATGGATTTTGAAACCCGTTTTTAGTGCTATAAGCCTTCAGACTTATGTTGAGTCACTGGGGTTCTTCTTTAACTATCTTATCAAAATATATCTTCAGCTGTATGGTGACCTTTTCCAACAGTTGACATGCAAGCTAGAGCACATCAACTGACACAGACCTTAACCACTCCACATATTCTTGTAAACACTGTAGCACATCTACTCCAAGGTTGGAC